GGCCATTTTGCCTTGGGTGCTAAAGGACCACCTTGTCCCAGCACTATTTGGCTCTTGTGTTTGTAGCGCTCACCCCCTCTGGAGCCGCTGGAATGAACGGGTCTTCGATAGCCTTTCTAAGGATTTTAGCCACCTGGCTGCCCCAATAGCACTTACTGTGGCGACTCATAAAATGATATGAGTCGCCACACAATGGTGAGATTTCCCTCCAGTAGTATGTGTCTCTGCCCCTCCGACAATGGTGAGATTTCCCTCCAGTAGTTTGTGTCTCTGCTCCTCCCACAATGGTGAGATTTCCCTCCAGTAGTCTGTGTCTCTGCTCCTCCCACAATGGTGAGATTTCCCCCAGTAGATTGTGTCTGTGCCCCTCCCACAATGGTGAGATCTCCTCCGAGTAGTTTGTCTCTGCCCCTCCCACAATGGTGAGATTTCCTCCAGTAGTTTGTGTCTCTGCCCCTCCCACAATGGTGAGATCTCCTCCCAGTAGTTTGTGTCTCTGCCCCTCCCACAATGGTGAGATTCCTCCATAGCAGTTTCTCTCTTAGACTGTAACAAAGATATCACCCTCTCACAGCTGGACCGCATAGGAGATCTATTGGCAGGTTGATACAATATTTCTCACACTGTAGTCTACAAGAAATATAAGAATCCATAATGTGATTCAATTTTCCAGCCACCGTGACTTAGATATCAGCTTTGGATGAGTTGGCATATAATGGTTTAAAAAATGGTGAATAGAGGGGTTTTTTTTTTTTTTAAATACACAGGGTCTATGTTGCTCCTGAATACCATTCAGATTGTTTCTATTAGGTCTTGTACACACAGCATTTGGCATTCTGCATGGGAGGAGGAAGTGTGTTTGGAAATGAATTTCTGGAGAAAGTTCTCTGCGGCATCCAATCTGCACTATAGACTATAAGTGGACTTACCAGTAGTTTGTGTCTCTGCCCCTCCCACAATGGTGAGATCTCCTCCCAGTAGTTTGTGTCTCTGCCCCTCCCACAATGGTGAGATTCCTCCATAGCAGTTTCTCTCTTAGACTGTAACAAAGATATCACCCTCTCACAGCTGGACCGCATAGGAGATCTATTGGCAGGTTGATACAATATTTCTCACACTGTAGTCTACAAGAAATATAAGAATCCATAATGTGATTCAATTTTCCAGCCACCGTGACTTAGATATCAGCTTTGGATGAGTTGGCATATAATGGTTTAAAAAATGGTGAATAGAGGGGTTTTTTTTTTTTTTAAATACACAGGGTCTATGTTGCTCCTGAATACCATTCAGATTGTTTCTATTAGGTCTTGTACACACAGCATTTGGCATTCTGCATGGGAGGAGGAAGTGTGTTTGGAAATGAATTTCTGGAGAAAGTTCTCTGCGGCATCCAATCTGCACTATAGACTATAAGTGGACTTGCTTGATAGTTCGGTGGAAGGAGGATGAACGTGCTCAGGTAAAGAATGCTTTTATAAGTGCTCATACCTTATACCTCATCATGAGCTGTAGTGACCTCCCCGTGACTCCAAACACACCGCAGGGTCATTGATGATCGCAATCTGGATTTATAGAATATTGACTTTTAATTTTACCCCTCAGCTTCCTTGTTTGTATGGAATGTCCTTATCGTCCTGCTACATCTTGGGGAATTTAAATCCTTCTGCAGATATGATATTTGTTCAAGGTTTAATTGTTGGATGGTTGCCTTTGTTATTGAATATGTTATTTATTGTTTTAAATCTCTGCCAACCAGTCCGAAACACATTCAGCTCAGTCTATAAATACTCCAGAACTTCATCTGTGTGGAGACAACTCCAGAAGATCCCTTCGTAGGAACATGGAAGAGAAAGACACCAAGAACAGCGATGGGAACCTTCCCGTGAGTTCTTCTACTGCCTCCTATATCATTCTCCTCTATTCTATACAGTGACTACAGGGGGGTCTATGGGGTACGACCGCCGCAGGCCCATGGGGGTCATATGACTGAAACTTGTCTTTATTTCCTTACTCTTTCCTCTGATTACTTTCTGTACATAATAACATCTTATTTCCCCTCACATCACATCACATACTGTCTACAATTCTAGAACGCTTATAATATAAAGAAACTTTCTATAGATAAATTAAACATCTTAGTGGGAAATGATTAATTAAAGGGACACTAAACTCCGGAGTTAAATCTTAAAAATCCATTCAAGTACCTAAACTATGAACTACGACAATGGACGGAATTCTGGTGGTTGTTCAAGCTCATGGGTTCTGATCATTTCTCGCAATTTTATGCGAGATTCCCAGGGATGGTAAGTGGTTAAAATTGCCATGTACAGTATATGGCCAACTTTAGGCAATGTTCCCAGCAAACATTAATGGATGCAAGCTGTAGATACGCTGAGTGGGCAGATTATTATGACCACCCCATCAGTACTTGGTTGGGCCGCCTCGTGACTCCACGAGATGATGAAAGGTGATGCGAGGAATCTGACACGGCACTGTTGCCCTTCTGTTGTCTTGTACCAGTCTTGCCCCTCCCCCTTTCTGCCCTAACATTGACTGGTCGCTGACGGCCACTAAATAATAATTTGGTTCCTAAATAATACATTTATGTACTCACACCTGGCTGCATCCTCGTGTTATATTTTAATATTGATAAAAAAATGTTGATAGGTATCCTGAGGCAGACATGGCGTTTCCCGTAATCTGAATGCTGTCGCGTTCTCTCTATCCTCTCTGTTTTGTTCTTTGTTGTATAAGGTTTAATTCCTGAGTTTAGTGTCACCTTAATATACACTAAATTCCAGAGCAATGTAAGTCTAATGGGGATATTTATAAAAACAAAGTGTATCCTCCAATCCAGGGGCGTAACTAGAAATCACAGGGCCCCATAGCAAAATTGAGTATGGGGCCCCGTGATTGCTAGTTATGCCACTTGCTATGCCCACCACATACTCTCTATAGTGGTCGCCGGGCCCCCGCCTCCTCTTCCGTCCCCGGGCTCCGCCTTCTTCTATCGACGGGCCCCGCCTCCTCTTACATCACTGGCCCCACCTGCTCTTAGATCGCTGGCCAGTGATGTCAGAGGAGGCGGGGTTGCTGTTAGGCGGGCCCCGCCTCCTTCTTTACTGCAAATGCCGGTGTAACTGGCCTATTCGGCCGCATCTGCTGGCTGTCACTGACACAGCTCTGCAGCGGCTGTGAGGGGGAACGTTCTCCCTCATAGATGCTGCTGAGCTATGTCAGTGACAGCCAGCACCCCGATATGCCATAGCGACCCAGGCGGCCCACACGGCATCAGAGGGATGCCCTGGCCGGGACCCCCTGTGCCCGGCCCCCATAGCGGCCGCCACTGCTCCAATCAGTGACATCTCTTAATCAGCCAATGTATGAGGGACGACTCTACACCTACACTGTTTACTTAGAATGAAGCAAAAACCAAAAAGACCTAATCATAATAAAGTCAAGCCAAAGTCATCAATAGAGGCTCAACATATTTTGGGGGAAGGTCCCCCTTCATCAGGGTTTAGAAGGTGATGAAGGAAATGCATTTCCTAGTATCAGACTGGCCAAACCAGCGACTAGAGAAGACTTTTCTCCTGAATGGTAACCAGTTTATTCCTCATTAAATCATTTCGGGGCTATTGGTTCAGAATAGAATTCCTTCAGCACCTTCTAAGCCCTAATAAAAGGGAGCCCCCCCAAATCGTTCTGGTTGTTTATTGAATGCAACTTTTAATAAAAAATCGATTGGAACTTTTACGCAGCCTGTCTGCCTATAGCTTTCCTCAATCTAAACAAACATCATTTTGAGATACAAGCTGACTCCAGGTCCTCGTCCTCCAAAAAGCTGCCTAAAAAGAACCTTGTTTTTACATCAGATGGAACCTATACCCAGGATACCTATCTGCACAAAGTGATCCAGCACCGCACACCTTTTCCTCCTTTTTCATTTGTGTACATAGCGCAGGATGATGGGTGAAAGGTTAATAGTTCGATATTCTTTATTTCTACAGAACGCTCCACCAAGCAATACGGTAACCTATGATATTACTCCAATCAAAGAAGCCAATCTGGACCAATTGGGAATGAGTATAAACATTCTCTGCTCCGATGTCCCCATCTACTGGTCAAAAATGGTAAGACGCTTTTATATTTCACCTTACTTATTACCGGTATTTATAGAGCGCCGACAATTTACGCAGCACTTTGCATAGTTGCACATTCACATCAGTCCCTGCCCTCAAGGAGCTTACACTCTAAGGTTCCTATCTCACATCCATATATAGAGGGTCAATTTACCTAGCAGCATGTCCTTGGAGTGTGAGAGGAAACCCACACGAGCACAGGGAGAACATGCAAACTCTTTGTATTTAGTGACCTGGCTGGATCAAACCAGGGGAGAAGCACTAACCACTATGCCACTGTGCTGCTACAATCACCTTAGGACAACATGCGGTCCTCCGAAGGACATAACAACAGGAAACAGCAAACACAATGAGAGAAAAGACACAAATACTAAAAGTTTGACCAAACTGAAAAAAAGATGCAACATTGATGTGTGTGGCCAATCTTACAGCTCATGTCAATGGCTATGTACGAAGCGAAGTCTTTTTTGCTAAGCGCAGGGTGAAGCACCTAAACACTACATGTTCTGCTAAGTCCATGTGCACCTAGCAGGATTAATGAGCCCTAAAAGCAGAGAGGAATACCCTGTGGGGTACACATTTGCTGCCTCACCATGTACAGAGATTTTATTGCTCGCGGTACAAGAATCTAAGCACCATCAGACTGAAAGTGACCTTCACTGAGGCATGCCAACTGACCAGCTAAACTTCTACACCAGGGGTGCCCACAATTGTTTGTGTTAAGATCTACTTTTCAAATGACGAGCTACATGAGATCTACCAACAACAAAAAACCCGCCCTCGCTCTCTATCTCCTGTTTGTCTCTCCTCGCTCTCCTAGCTTTCTCTCCTTGCTCTCTCCCCTGGCTGTCTCTCCTCACTCTCTCCCCTGGCTGTCTCTCCTTGCTCTCTCCCCTGGCTGTCTCCCCGCTCTCTCTCCTGGCTGTCTCTCCTCACTCTCTCTCCTGGCTGTCTCCCCGCTCTCTCTCCAGGCTGTCTCTCCTTTCTCTCTCTCCTGGCTCACCTTGCTGTATTTTGCTGTGTAAAGTAATATTCTTTGATGTAACACATGGCACTACAACCCCCAGTATCCACCAGAAAGGTGTCGGGGAGCTCAGCTCAGCAGTCTCGGGCTGATAGGGAATCATGTGTGCACAGCTAAATAAATATACCAACATGGAATAAATGGGCCGCCATTCCCCCCCTTCCTGGTCTACCAGCATCAGCTTTGAGAGCTACTAGTAGATCACCATCTACCTAATGGGCACCCCTGATCTACACCCACAGCATCTGATATTGATTCTGACCTTTTAAAACAAGGTCTATATCACTTGCTGCCACACCTAGACAGGAATGTAACAAATACACTACAGTAGCTTCTTCAGAGAGGCATAGTCTCTAGTATGAGCATTCAGAAATTCAGCATATGGAGTGATAGACACTGCAAGAAATATATAATCAGCAGTAATAATAAAAAGGTTTAAAAGTGAAATGTACATAAGTTAAGTCCATGGGATCCTGGTGAAGTGTAGAAATTGGATCACTTGAAAATGATAGCTGACACTTGCTCATGTACCTCCCTTTACTTTCCCCCTGGAGAGGGTAGGGTGCTAGGGAGCTGCCCTACCCAATCAAAAAGTCTAAAGGGGTGTGTTGTAGGTGTGCTGGGGTGTTTTATAATGCCCAGAGGAAACAACCCCAATGCCAGTGTATCCCAGGTACACCTCTATTTTCATGTTTCACAATCTGTAAATCAACCATGGCCTCATAATTGTCATTCTGCTTGGTTGGCAGTCCAACGTAGGCCTCAAGAACTTTGCTACTCAGCCTTGGGGGTCAAATACCGGGAGCACTGCAACTGTGGCAAGTGTTACTGTCACAAAGCATGTAAGTTCCAGGATTGGATCTCTCAATAGATTGTCCTGAAGAATGCAAAAGAGTTATGCGCAGGGGGTGGATTCCCCATTAGGCGCTGTAGGCATGTGCCTAGAGGTGGCAGAGCCGCATAGGAGGATTTTCAGCCTTCCAACAATGAAGAACGCAGATTGCACACCGATAATCTCCAAATTCAACAAGCTTTATTGTTCCAAATTCACTCACATATATCCCACCGCACACTGCCAAATTCCACATTCAACAAACTTTAGTGTTCAAAGTCACATGGAAAATTGGGAGATATGTCCTATTGTACAGCGCTCGAACGGGGGAAGACAGGAGGGCAGAGGGGGAAGGTTTGGAGGGGGGGTTTAG